ATCTGGATCAGGTAAAACACAATTATTATTAAATTTAATAATGAGGTGGATGAGATATAACAAACTATATTTAATAGCAACATCTGTAGATGATCAGCATTGTTACGAAGTACTTAAAGATTTTAATGAAAAAGCAAAATCAGTTAATAAAAAAGGTGAAGATATTATTGATTTTATCACAGATATAGATGAAGCCCCATCTGTAGATGACCTAGATGGATTCATTAATAATCTCGTAGTATATGATGATGTGATGTTGGACAAATAATCTAATCCAGCTAGAATATTTTCTCGAGGTCGTCACAAAAACACAGACGTGATTTATGTTACTCAAAGATATACACAGATACCTAAAGTGATTAGAGATAACTGCAATATTTTGGTTGTGTTTAATGGAGTAGATAATTATTCTCTACAGAATATTTAATATACTTGGTGTTCAGGGAATATGGATATGATTAAATTTAAAAATTTCTTTTCTAAAGCACAATCTGTTCCATTTGGATTTATAACAATAAATCTACATGACCCAAGATCCAGATATCGCATAGGTCTAGATAAAATATTTGGTTAATCTCTGATAAATCAGGAGCAGCAGGCAGGGTGAATCTCTACATGATATTGCTCGAGTTTTTAACGTAAAAAATAATTCGATAAAATCAGGAAAAAAAGTCAATAATAGTATAACACCTCCTGATAAAGTCAGGTTATTTATTATGCGGTTTTTTAACCATATGGTAATATAAAAGTTAGATATTTTGGTTTAGGGTTATTGACCTTTTTTCAGCCTCTGTAGGAATCCTTATTCATGTTAATTTCACAAGCAAAATTTTGTAGGATTCACCCTGCCTGCTGCTCGTTTTCTCAATGAATTTAACAGGATACACAATTTCATCGCAATTCTTTCTGCTTTCCGTTTAAAGGGCAAACATGTATTAAAATGTGATATAAATTAAATATTTGGTGAGTATGTATGCTGTATCAGTGATATGCCACTCATTAATTTTCATCAAAAGGAAACTTGGATAGCCTCGTTTTCTTAGCATGTAATAGCTTTGGACAATTATCAGTTTCTCGAAGTCGTCATCATCATCATCATCATCATCATCATCATCATCATTATCATCATCATCATCATTCCATGATGCAAAATATAGAGACAATGCACGTTATTGTCAGGTTTTATCATTGAACTTTACATTTCTTTTGTTTATAAAAAATTACACGCATAAATAGCTGAAGAGAGAATTGTTTAATGTTGTTTTATTCATTATCAACGACAAAACGATACGACTTATAATGGTCCCATCGAGGAAACGTTTTTATGTGGGTGTGTATATGCCAACCAGACTAGGGAACCCCACTCGTGACCATGGCTTATGACGTCACGGGCTATATTCCCTATGCAGTCTCAATTTTAAGTGATGATCAAGATAAGAATGACAGATTTGGAGGAAGACAGGTAAACACTAATTGGTTTTTAGATCTAACATCATCATATTATACATGTATACTTATCGTCTAACAACAGTAGAAGTATGCATGAATACTTATCTTCTAATAATAATACCCTTACGCATAAATACATATTGATTAATTAAAGTACCATTATGTGTATATACTTTTTTTCTAATAATAGTTTAATTATGCATGTATACTTATTGTCCAACAAAAATACCATTATGCAGGTATACTTATCGTCTAATAATAGAACCATTATGCATATATACTTATTGTCTAATAATAACAGTACCAATATACACATATACTTATCGTCTAAAAATATTATCATTAGTCATATATACTTGTTGTCTATTAAAAGCATCGTCAGATAATTTTTGTTGGAATATGTCCATTGTAGTTTGATACCACGGAGAACAGTGCCTTATTTAGGCAATCCCAAATAATTTATACATACTCATGATTAGCGATTGCATATGTTGGTTAATTAAAGGTGGGACAGTAGTTCTGGTGGATATCCAAATTTTTATCTGGAACAGCGCCAATTTTTAGTCTTGACCTTGTATTTGCGTATCCATGCGCAGCCATTTTCAGGACCTCTCTCATAACAATCCTCTGAGAAATATGAGCACGTATGTTCTTTGATTTAAAATCAACTCGCTTGCCATAATATTTTCTTTATACCTTTAACTTTTGGGAAAAAATGTAATCCAAAGCCTTTTAATTAGTGCGCTAGTACATCCATTAGCAACGCAAAACTACCTTGTCTTTCACATGAAATGAATCCTCGCAATAGGCAGTCGAGATGCAGGAATATCATCATATTACGAAATTACTGAACAGGCACGGAAATTATGCATAAGAGGTCACTGAAATTCAGTTCTCAGAAAGTGTGTAAAACAATTAAATATTGGCATTACGATTAGAAATGATATTTCAGAATAAGATTTCCTCCTACAGCTCTTTAATTACTATTGTAAAATTTCATTGATTTCTCGTGTCTTTCAAGCGTGTTACAAAGAAAGCTTGACACGTTGCATGTTATGTAATATTACAAAAGACATTCTACTGGAGGAAATTACATGTCGAAGTCAACAATATTTAAACAAGCATTTTTAATTTGCAAAGATAAAAAATATATCAACATAAAGAGCAGAATACGAAACTACAAGTACAATAATTAACTAAAGTGGTTGCAGATTACGAAGGCTTACGCGTAAGATCGAATTAGCTGCTTTTGAAATTAGCTTATATTCCGTTTAAATCTTTGAATTAGAAAATGTACGCCTTAACGTTCTGAGCAAATATATACATTAATGAATAGATAAATGTGTTGAGTAAATATAAACAGTGTATATATATATATATATATATATATATATATATATATATATATATATATATATATATATATATATATATATATATATATATATATATATATATATAAGTTGTATGCTTAGCTTTTGTTCATGACAGTAAGATGTACATTACAAAACCATTCTTTTTCTGCTATTTTTGTGAGATGTGAATGACATATTTACAAAGTAGGTCCACTCTTGTTTGCAATTAGATTCGAATATTAGGTGGGAATGATGCACACCTGGATCGAGAGTGAATGTGTACAAATAGATATTTGTTAAAAATATAATTCATTCCTGTTTTATATCAGTCCGTGGGAATCATCTATAGATCAGATTTACATTTGTGCTCAAATATAATTGGTGAGGAATTCTTTATTTAAAACTATTCACTGGAAGTTCGAAAGTGATAATTCACAGTTAGATTTATTCGCACTATCTTATATTATCGTGAGCTCAGTTAAACAGAATTATGCATTACATAGTTTTGTTATATCAGGACAATCAAAGCAATTGAAATTAAATTCATTCGGAATAGTGTGTATGTTTGGACTTGTGATCGGACATTTTAATTTACAAAGCAGTTAACTCCTCTTAAAGTTTCACTTTGTTTTGTACAGAGATAATTAATTGTTGATTTTATTTAAATTGTTGGTTTCACCTATTTCCGTTACATTTTATAATGATGGGAGTCGTAATGATACATGAATAGAAAGATGACTGGATGGATAAATGTCTTGATAGGTAGGAATGTAATAAAAAATATTGATTTTTTCTTTAGATATGTTGAAACAATAAAAAAAATGAACGAGTACATACATAGCTGTACTACTGTACAGTGCAAAGACAGGATCCAACACCACCAGTTATTTGTGGAGAGATAACCAGATTATTTGTGTGGCAATATTAAAATCACCGTAAAATAGCAATCGGTCTTCAGTGAATGGCTAACTACACTTACAATCTTCGTATTTATTGCCTTCTTGGAATAAATAAATGTATTAAAAATTAATTAAGACGAATATAAGATGATTCAAAGCAGTTCGAGTCATATTTTAAAGTAAAATTAAATTTCTGATTTGATAGTGATACAATTCAGTCACATTTATGTGGAGAGGTCAGTGCGGGACTTACTGATATGGTCTTAGTAGACGTTATGTGGAAAATGTTATAAAAAAAATACATCTCTAAAACCAAGAATCACTCATATTGATATAAATCTTTATCCGAGAGCTGAACATTGTGAGATGGCTGAAGTAATAAAAATGCGTACAAGGGGTATAGTCGTTTAACAACCTACGTTATATCGTTATCAGTAGGATTGCCTGATTAAAAACTATCAAATAGACTGTAATACTCAGAAATATTAAAAGTATCATACATACGTCTTGTTTTTATTTTTCTTTGAAGAGTGGTTGGACTGGGTGTAATCTTCCATTTTCACACACCATTGGCTGTATCAAGCCGAGGGGAAATGCGTTAGTGCTTTTCTGAAGGACACATAGATAAAGCTATAGTAGGTTGTTTTTTCGAACCTGTGACCCTTGGATAAGTAGCCTCAAGCTCTATCAACTGCACAACAGAATAAAAACGTACTAAATACAGACCAAAATTTAATTTCAGCGTATGTAGCGCTAACGGGAAGGAAAGATGATGATTAAAATATCATGGCCTACTTTTTGTTATTCTCAACGTATTTGAAGGAGATAAATATACAGATCACGAGCATAATGCCTTGACCTAACTTTTCTGAAATTTTTGGGAAGTGACAATAAGCGGGCCTGGTCTAATCTCGAAATCTCAACTTAAATATTTGGTGAATCTTAAACGAGTAATGATTTCAATTAAATTTATAAAGCTGAATATCTTTAGAGATTTTATATCATCCATTAAGAAAGTGAGTCATGTATATGTCCCGACCATGTCACAAGGGATTTGTGTGATTTGGATATTTTTTAAACGTAGCTTTAACAAATTTTTAATCATATCGCTACGATGTCTGCAGTGTGGCAGTTTATAGTGATGTCTAGCACTGGGGCATCATGCCGCAGACAAATAGCATGATGTCCCACCCAGTCACATTATCCTCACACCAGGCCGACCAGTCCTAACACTAGCATCCTAATGTTTAGCGCCAAGCGAGGCAGCTGTAAGTACCATTTTTGTAAGTCCTTCTTATCACTCGGCCGGGGATCGAACCCACGACCTCCCGCATCCGAGGCGGACTCTTTAACCACTATGCCGCCGGAGCGGTTGTCTGAATTGATCGTTTGCACCAAACATATGAACTCGTACCCAAATACAAGAAAGATGACTTATAAATCGAAATCTCCCGTTGTGGCGCTGACAATAACTATATTGATCTCAATGACAACAATAGCAACAGTAACATCAAGAATATCATTGACAACTTATATTGGGAAAGCGACTGTGCGGGGTGGGGCGGGGTTGGGTAGCTACCCACTGATTACCGTAATCAGATTATCATTTAATCCGATTTAAAGATAAAAAACCCAAACAAAGTGGAACTCATCAGTAGTACAGCATTAAATAGAGGCTTTTATCAGAGTTACTATTAGATTCATCATATTCAACCGCTCCCAAGTTGTCCAGTCTCAGCTCGTTTAATGAGCCAATAAAGGGCTTTTAGTGTCCATGACCATTTCAGGGACCCTTAGGTAACGGTAGATCCCGTGAGATCTTTCGATATTACATCAGATAGCAAACATCTTATCTATTCTCCTGCGTATGCAAATTGACATATTTCGTAATTATCCTCTTTATCTTTGTTTTCGTATGTTCATTTATTTTTTTTCGTTCATTCATGTATCCACCATTGATGTTCGATTCTGTCAGCAATACATTCGCTCTCACCTATGTGTTTCCACGTATGTTTCTTTGTGCATTCCTTGAACTAAAATACTTATTGACGAATTTTCAAACTGAAGATGATTATTTAAGGCACAGGGCTATAATTGAAATGATAAAACCATCAATGAAAAAAGCTGCAAGGTATTTGATATTTTTTTGGTGGAAAAATACATCCTAAAATGGAGGGACTATCAAACTGCCTTTAAAGCAATTAAAAAGGCTTTGTTTACTTTGTTCTTCAATAGGTAGTGCGTGCTGTAATTCAATAGGTAGTGCGTGCTGTAATTCAATAGGTAGTGCGTGCTGTAATTCAATAGGTAATGCGTGCTATAATTCAATAAGTAATGCGTGCTGTAATTCAATAGGTATTGCGTGCTATAATTCAATAGGCAATGCGTGCTATAATTCAATAGGTAATGCGTGCTTTAATTCAATAGGTAGTGTGTGCTGTAATTCAATAGGTAATTCGTCCTATAATTCAATAGGTAATGCGTGCTGTAATTCAATAGGTATTGCGTGCTATAATTCAATAGGTGATGCGTGCTGTAATTCAATAGGTAGTGCGTGCTGTAATTCAATAGGTAATACGTGCTATAATTCAATAGATAATGCGTGTTGTAATTCAAAAGGTAATGCGTGCTATAATTCAATAGGTAATGCGTGCTATAATTCAATAGGTAATGCGTGCTGTAATTCAATAGGTAGTGCATGCTGTAATTCAATAGGTATTGCGTGCTATAATTGAGTAGGTAATGCGTGCTATAATTCAATAGGTAATGCGTGCTGTAATTCAATAGGTAGTGCGTGCTATAATTCAATAGGTGTTCGGTGCTATAATTCATTAGGTAATGCGTGCTATAATTCAATAGGTAATGCGTGCTATAATGCATCCTCAATAAAACTATATTGAGATTTTTCTTAAAATTGCTTCTTCTTCTCATTTTGAAAAATACCTTTACAACGATAATGAGTTCGTATAAATAGATGGAAGGCTATAATGTCAAACTATCACAAGACATAATAGGGAAAATATCGAAAGAATATTCGTTTGAATTCACTTTTACGACCAAGACTCTGTGTTACTTATTTAGACGTGACATTTTACCCTCATCTTCTCATTTACACATTTCATTACCATCCACTCATCCGCGTACAGTAAAATTACAAATACATCAAACCCACTCAAAATTGGAGTGAAATAGACCTGCATTCATATTCAATGTCTGGCTATGTAAGGTTTAATTTAAGCCTGGAAGCAGATGACATCTGTTTGTGCATATTACAATTTTCAATTTGGAACTGGAATGAAAACTTTGACATTAACCTTTTGATTTTAGTCAGAACCTTCTTGGAAACGTGAAGAGATTTATATCTTTTCTACCGCTCACTTAACATATTTTAAAATTGTTATCCCAGGTGTTGGAATTAATTAAGAACTTTTTTCTTCTAAAAATCATCTTACATTATCTAAACTTTCTTTGGCAATCAAAGGGATACGCTTGAAGGAAATGTGCCGCTGCATGTCGTTCTCATGCGACGTTATTTCTTGACCTTTGAATCACTTTCACTTTCAATTAAAAGGACAACAGGCGATAGAAACCAAATATGTGCAAGTTGAACATTCACCATATTGTAATGTGTCTTAGACATTTTGACTCCTTTGAAGTCAAAACTCCCTTTACACTTATGTCTAGATATTTTATCTTATTTGAAATCAAAACTCCTTCTAGATTGTCATGTCTGAAATATTTTGTCTCCTTTAAAGTTAAAACTCCTTCAGCACTGGTTATGTCTGAGATATTTTGTCTTTTTACAGTAAAAACTAATGTTACAGGCGTATGTAATTTGCCTGAGACACTTCGGCTCCTTTGAAGTCAAAGAAGTCAAAATTCCTTCTTCAGGGTTAAATAATGTGTCTCTGACACCTTGGCTCCTTTTGAAGACAAAAGTACAGGACTATTTTGTAACAACAAAAGATACAATACAACTTGGCTTTGTGATGAATGAAAACGGTAACATTGAAACTTTTGTTGACTTAACTACTTGCCATTCGTCACACAGAAACTTCTATTTGCGATAATTTAATTCTTCTAGTTTAGACGGATCCGAATTGTGAAATATTTATGAGGCATATGGGCTCTTCTAAATACAGGCATGACAAATTATTCAGCTGTGGAGTTTAGGTAAACGTTATACATTAAATAAAGCATTCGAGGCAAATTTACATGCATTTCAAAGCTTTTACCTGGATGACACTGAGAAGTTATTTGCTAATTTTCACACACTTTCACACACACAAACACACACACACACACACACACAAGACTAATCATAATGTTATGAATGAGGTACAATAAATATGAGGATGTAAAGGCATAATCAAACACTGAACTTTTTATTTCGATTTAAAATATTCGATGACATGAAGGTATCTCCAAAGAAAAGCTTAAACAACGATGTGAATATAATTACATAAATGTTTTATACGGTTAAATAAATGACGCAGTTTTCATAAAGTGAACACAGGAAATTTTATAAATAATAAATGTTTGCATGCTTTGGGTCTTGCAATATTAAGGTAACACGGCAGATATATTACGAGCAGAGTATTGGGCCCAAAGAACAATTATAGGAAGATATTGTATTTATTTGTCATTATATTTCTAACACACTGTCAATGTTATGTATGCTATGTCTATTTTGATGTATCTAATAATAAAAATTAATAATAATAATAATAATAATATAATAATAATAATAACAGCTTAATACTGTCATATGATATCATATAACCTTCAAATCAGCTCAGATCAACTCAATACTGTCACATAAAATCATATAATCATCAGATTAGAGCTACTCAGTACTATCATATGTTATATAACAATCAGATCAGTTATATACTGTCATATGATATCGTATAACCATTAGAACAGCTCAATACTGTGATATAATATCACATAACCATTCAATCAGCTCAACAGTCATTAAATATCATGCAATCATCAGCTCAGCTCAGATCAACTCAATTCTAATATATCATATAACATTGATCAGAGCGACTCAGTACTGTCATATGATATCATATAATCTTCATATCAGCTCAGAGCGATTTTATACTGTCAAATGATATTTCATAACCATCTGATCAGCTCAGAGCGACTCTATACTGTCATTTGATATCCTATAACCATCAGATCAGCTCAGAGCGACTCTATACTGTCGTATGATATCCTATAACCATCAGATCAGAGCGACTCTATACTGTCGTATGATATCCTATAACCATCAGATCAGATCAGAGCGACTCTATACTGTCATATATCGTATAACCTTCAGATCAGCCCAGGTCTACTCAGTACTGTCATATAATATGATATATTCTTCAGATCAGTTCAGAGCGACTATATACTGTCATATGATATCATATAACCATCAAATCAGCTCAGAGACTATATATTGTCATGTAACATCATATAACCTTCAAACCAGCTCAGAACGACTATACACTGTCCTAGTGGTTAGAGCGTTCATTTCGGATGCGGGAGGTCGTGGGTTCGATCCCAGGCCTAGTCATATCAAAGACATATAAAATTGTTACTAACAGCTACCTCACTTGGAGCTCAGCAATAAGAGGCTAGTGTTAGGACTGGTCGGCCTGGTGTCAGGATAATGTGACTGGGTGGGACATCATGCTACATGTCTGCGGCATGATTCCCCAGTGCTAGACATCACTATAAACTGCCACACTGCAGACATTGGATCTATATGACTAAAAAAATGATAAAGCTCCGTTAAACATGCATATCACACACACACACACACACACACACACACACACACACACACACAGAGCTCATATATTGTCATATCATATCATACAACCATCAAGATCAGCTCAAAGCAACTCAATACTGTCATATATCAAATAACTTTCAGATCAGCTAAGATCAATCCTATACTGTCATATGATATTTTCTGTTCTTTTTCATAATTATAGGCATGTGTTCGCACAAAATATGGAGAATTACATAAAAGACAATTGCACATTCTATAATTGTCATCTTTTTGAGACAATTAAGTTTCCTTGCATGCAAATTAGGTTATTAAATCCCTTTTTATTCCTTTGTAGTTCATACTTTACTTCTTAAAATGTTTTAACAAATTCTGAAGTTTTCGTTCTAAAAGCCAATCATATTGTCCTTCTCTTATCGAATGCTCGACATTAAACATTCAAGCAGTTGATGAAAGTCACATGGAGAAAATAACTGATTGGGGTCTGATAACGACATTTGCTGTCATTTTTGTATTGAAGCAAATTTATTGTCATAAATCCGATTGGTTTAGCAATGATTTGTTTCATTGATCAAGGTCACATTAG